TAGTATAAACCCTGTAAAACATAAAATTGAATGAGGTTTTTGACCTTTAAAAAAGATCTCCATTTCTTCTTTTTTTTGGTGTTTTTGAAGCAGGGTCTCCCTGTGGCCCCAGCTGTCCTGGAACTCACTATGTAGCCCAGGCTGGCCCTGAACTCACAGAGATCTGCCTGCCTCTGCCTCCCAAGTGCTGGGACTGCAGGTGTGCACCATCACACCCGGCTTCCATTTCATTTTAAAATAGTTTCATACAGGAAACTCATTTTTAAATGCTACTAACACTTAGATGTTTGCATATGTGTCTCTAATCTCTGTGTATCTGATTATTACTAGTCATGGTTACATTCAGATCCTTGGCACCTATGTATGGATATGCAGTCATCTGGTAGATTTCAATGATTATTAACTCTACTAATTAACATGAAACAAATTTTTATGCTTCTTCCTCAAATATAGCTCATTTTTAAAAAAAAATTTGATTTATTTTTTGTGTGTATTTCATACAAAACATCCCAAACAGTCTTATTCGTCTGTATCCCCACATCCCAGATGGCACCTCCCATAGCCTCCCCCCCATTGGCGCCCATATACACATACCCATATGCTCTGTCATCCCCGTTACTGTCCACTGTGTTGTTGGTGCCCCCAGCCATTCCCCAGTGCTTGTCCGTCTGCTGAATCTAGTCAGCCTTTTCAAGTTCCTTGCTTTAGGAAGATGAGCTCTTCCTCATCTAACAGCAATCAGTTGCCAATATCCCTTTAGATAAGATTGGGGTCTGCTGTTCATTTTCCCAGTTCTATGCTGGATTACTATCTGGGAGTCTCTTGGGCCACCCAGGTCAACAACTTAAAGGTAGGTATCTCCTGTCTGGCACTGTTTCTTGTTATGTAGCCTTTAACTATACACATGGACTCTTAAAGAATTACATTGACCCCTTTAATCTTTGGTTATACTTTCTTTTTGGGTGTTTAAGACAGTTGACCCAGATAAACCAATTTATTTTTACTCTTAAGGCTATTTGAGGATCTGTTCCTCAGGGGTCACACGGGCTTGGGAGGAACTCCTGGCTCCTTTCTTTTACCAGTTCCACCTATGTGAAGATAAGTCAAAGGTCCTGCTCAACTGTGGCTGGCTTCACTTGGAAGCATGGAGGAAAAGTTTCCTCTGTGTTGTCCCTCCTGTTTGTAGACTGGATACTGGTTCAATTCCATTTGATGGGGTCTCCATGGCTTCCTTGCTCAAGAGGACAGGTGACTTACCACAGTTACAGGACATTTTGAGAGATGCTCATAGTCCCTTGGAACTTAGTTGATCTAGGAGGGCAAGGGGCAAAAACTGTCCTTTATGTCCCTCTGACCAAATTAGTATAGGCCTCAAAGTATGTCTGTTAAATATCCAAGAAGGTTAGTTCTACCAGTCTGGTATTTTTAATTACTGGTATTTTTATTTCAAATCTTTTTTTAAATGCCAATGGTTGCTGCTGAATCAAGGAATGTGGGGTGTGGGGTCAACAAGGTGCAGGCAGGGCAGGTGGGCTGGTGTTAGATGCAGAGCAGACAAGCAGGTCCAAAGACCCAGTGAAGTTACTCAGCAAGGCAGGTCTTGAGCTCTCAAGTTCAGGAACTTCAGGATCCTTCACAGGTGTGGAAGTACCTAGAAATGTGTAGAAGGTTTTGGCCTGGCTAAAGCCAGGTGAGCCCCAGGATCCCATGCACTCATGTCCAATCCCACAGCAAACCCTCAGTAGGCCACAGCAAGACACTGACAAAGCCTGAGCACTCCAAGACCCTCTTGGGGCATTCACTGCTGTCCACCCCACACTGATGACCTTGGGAAGGGGACCGATGGGGATGGGCAGAGGGGGAGCTGTCTCTTGGCAGTCATACCTAGGTCAAGGTGGCATCAAACAACTTACAGGCTTTATTATTTGTGGTGGAGAGTGGGAGACCAGCATCCTTCCAGGCCTGCACAGCAGGAAAGGAATACCAGGGCCTTATTCTGATGAGCCCCAAACCCTTGGTTGCCCCTCTGTAAATTGGTCCTATGGGAAGCCCAGTGGGGTGACATCAAGTGTCATCTCAAGGACAGACAATAAATTAAGTCCCAGTCATCAGGAGAGGATGGAAGGCCTGGCCCCCAGAGGAGGGGATTAGTGTGCTAAGGTGTATCTTGAAGGATATTAGGCTTGTCACCTGTCTGGCAAGGTGGGCACCACCTACCAACAACAAATCCCTCCTCTCATCTTCAGACCAAGCCTTTAGGTAGTAAACCTGATGCCTTCAGATTGTAATGGCTGCCCTCAATGACCTGCTAAGGCAGGGGCACTGTGCCCGTGACTCCCAGTTGCAGAGGACATGCACTTTAGTCCTGGCCAGAAAGGGGCTACATCTCTCAAGACCAGGAAATGAGGTGGCTTCAGTCCAGTTGCCTCACCCCTCTGACCATCATCTCATCTGCAAAATGGGCTCAAGGTCCCAGCCTTGGGTGGCTTCAAAGGAGAAGCTCGCTGGCCCTAAGCCCAGTAAACAGATTTTGGAGAAGGTCTTGGGGGCTCCCCGCAACCCTGACAGGCCCTGCTGGTGTCCCTTGGTGGGGACCACCCCATAGTCCCCTCCAAGTGCTGCTGAGGATGCACAGGTCCCCTCTGACTCAGGCGCCCTCCAGGCACATCCTGCTTCACCACGCAGGGCCAAGCCAGGGGGGCTCAGCTTTGCTCTGAAGGTGAGGACCACCTCGGGGGGATCACCAGCATTTCTAGGGATTCTGGGGGTGGAGAGGGAGTCCACAGTGTGGACGTTAGAATGGCGCAGGGCTGGGGTGGGCAAGGATTGTGAGCAGTCCAGCTCTCTGGTGGCTTGGGAAGCACATGCCCTGTGCCCTGTGCAGGAACTTGGCCTGCCCCCAGGCACCTAGGAACACCTGTGCCTCTAAGCCCCCAGCCTGGGTATCCCTGAGCAGAGATCAGCATCCTCCCCTGCTCGGGGCTCCTGAACCCCATCTGCTGGGATGTGAGGCTCCCTGTCTGCCTCCCCTTAAGATGGAGCCCTAGGAGCTCGGCCTAAAGCTGGGCTCCTGGGATCCAGCCTGTCTCCTACGTGAGCCCCTTTCTGGTTCTGAGAACCTAGGTAAGCATGGGAAGCCCAGGGACATTGGTCATTTTCCCTCCCTTTGCTGGGGATTGAGCCCTGAGCCTCATGCACGGTAGTCAAGACCTGTACCGCTGAGCTATATCTCCCAATTTTGTTCTTTCGTTTTCTTCCAGTTTTGAGACACTGAACGGCCCAAACTGGTCTTGAGTTAGGGCTTACAGTGGAATGGCTCTCCCCTCCCCTAAAGATCCCTCCTCCCTGCAGGACACTGTCCGGGCTGTACTCTGCCATCAACCACAGATCTGCTCCTGCCTTGGGGGCTCTCCCCTCATATAACCTCACCTGCTTCCTCCCAGGGTAGGGAAGCCAGGTAAGCTGTGCAGGTACAGGGTCAGCTCCTGCCTGTATTTAAAATGTTGATAAATGTGGCCAAAGAGATGGCTCAGTGGTTAAGAGATCACAGTGCTCTTCAGAGGATCTGAGTTTGTTTCCAGGCACCCTGGTCCAGCAGCTC